AGAATATTTAGCTTACCTAAGAGGTGGGGTCCCAAAGGTCTCTGCTCAGGGCTGTCCTCTGAATCCTATTTTAGGTTAATTTATAAGCCAGACTAGGGCCACTGGCATAGGCACATCAAATATTTAGCAATAAACTCAACCAATTCCATCAGAAATTCTGGGGATGGAGCCCAAGCACCATTTAGAACTCCCAAAGTGATTCTAATGGGCAGCCAGGATTGAGAGCCGCTGGACTAATGGGATCTGGAGCTGTATCACTAGGAACATAGTGCCCTGGATACGGGAGGTGAGAGCTGATCTATCATGAGCTGAAGCATCGTGATCCATGCCAGAGGCTCCATCTGCAAGGGACGCCGATGAAACACATCCAGAGGAGGCCGTTGGGATGGAGAAATCATTTAAGCTAAGGGAGGCTGAGGGACAGAGGATATTTTGCTACTTGGATGGTGGAGAAAGGCTGGGGGCAAGGTCACAGACCCTGTGTCCGAGGGCCGGGTTATGCCTCGTCTATGAGATCCAGGTTATTCTGTCCTAACGGAGCGCTGCCTCATTAGTAATGAAGTAGTGTCACCATAATTACCTGGAGTTGGCAATGCTGAAGGTTAGGAATGCTCTCTGACACAAGTGCAAGAGATTTAGCCTCACCTGAGGCACCTGCATCCAGCAGGTTGCCGGCCAGGCACAGTGGCTGGCGCCCCCTGTAATCTCAGCATTTTGGGAGGCCGAGGCAGGAGGATTGATTGAACCCAGGAGTTTGAGACCAGCCCAGGCAACATAGCAAGACTCCATCTCTGCAAAAAAATTTAAAATTAGTCCGGTGTAATGGTGGGCACCTGTAGTCCCAGTGACTCAGGAGACGGAGGCAGGAGAATCACAAGCTCGGGAAGTCAAGGCTGCAGTGAGCTATAACTGTACCACTGCACTCCAGCCTCAGCAACACAGTGAGACCCTCTTTAAAAGAAAGAAAACAGAAGCCGGGTGTGGTAGCTCACGCATGTAATCCCAGCACTTTGGGAGGCTGAGGTAGGCAGGTCACGAGGTCAGGAGTTTGAGACCAGCCTGGCCAATATGGTGAAACCCGATCTTTACTAAAAATAGAAAAACTAGCCGGGTGTGGAGGCGTCCATACCGGTGGTCCCAGCTACTCGGGAGGCTGAGGGAGAAGAATCACTTGAACCCAGGAGGTAGAGGTTGCAGTGAGCTGAGATTGCACCACTGCACTACAGCCTGGGTGACAGAGTGAGATTCCATTTCAAAAAAAAAAAAGAAGAAGAAAGAAAAAGAGGGAGAAAGATGAAAGAAGGAAAGAAAGAAAGAAGAAAGAGAAAGAAAGAAAGAAAGAAAGAAAGAAAAAAGAAAGAAAGAGAAAGAAAGAAAGAAAGAAAAAAGAAAGAAAGAGAAAGAAAGAAAGAAAGAAAAAAGAAAGAAAGAGAAAGAAAGAAAAAGGAAGGAAGGAAGGGAGGAAGGGAGGGAGGGAGGGAGGGAAATAAAACAGAAAAAAGAAAAACCCCAAAGATGCTGAGAACCTTCCCCCCTCAATTTCGGTCAGGTGCTCTGGGTGTAGTGCTCAACCCTGACACCAATTCATTCAGACCACAGTGCTGGGCCCCTATAGTCCTGCAGGAGGCAGACACACTGGCCCAGGACTGGGGTACCGAGATGCAGACAGCTCCTGGGAACTGAGGCAGTGGTGGTGACAGACAGATGCTGAAGGGCAAGGTGGTCCAAAGCGGTGGAAGGGATGACTCCAGGCCCTGTGCACTACCGAATCAGGCTCCACTCCGAGGTCTCCGAGAGCCCGGCTGGGTGTGAATGCAAGCACTATCTCGGCCCTGTCTAGAATCAGTTTTTCCACTCACCATAAGTTTTCTTCACTTATACATTCTTACTGTCACAGGGACTGGCTAAAAAGGCAGCTGAAACAATTGGCAACTCTCCCAACACTTAAAATGTATCCAGAGATCCCACTTCTAGGGCTCCATACAGTAGAAACTCAGCACAAGTCTGTGTTATTTGTGTCTAAACTGTAGGAACTAGCAAAATATAGTCTGGAACAGCAGTACTATGAGATACTATGTAGCCATTTAAAAAGAACAAGGGAGGTCTTTGCAAGAAGCTGGATACAAAATAGCATGGACTGCAGGATTCCATTTATAGGAAGTTCAAAGAATAAGTAAAACTAATTGGTGAAAGCAGTCAAGTAGGTGGGGCTGTTGCTTGGGTAGGGTTACCAGGGAACTTTCTGGAATCCAGAAGCTGTTCCGTATCTTGATCTGGGTAGTGGTTATATGGGTAGAGATTTGTGTAAAAATTCTTGGAGTCATACACTGAGGATTAGCATCTTGTAAATACTAGAGGTATGTTACACATCAATATAGAAAGTAAAGACGATGAGGGCACTCTAGAAGAACTGGCTTGGGAAAAGAGTAAAGAAAAACAGAAAAAAAAAAAAAAGGTTGCAGAATGTTTGATTATGATATTTTTGTAAATGTGTAAGACTGGATACAACAGCCTAGAAGGAGGCCAGTCTAGCAGCACAGCCAGGATTGAAAGTCAAGGGTCCTGACCCCCAGCCCAGACTCCGCCAGCTGCCAGGCTCTGCTAGTGTAAGCAGAATGCTCCAGACACACAAGTAGAAGGTGCAGGATGATCCAGGTGCCCTGGCCACACCATTGTCACCCCTCCTCCCAGTCTCCTCCCTCTGGGTGGTGAGTGGTCAGATCCACTAATTGGTCTTCAAGCCCTGATGACAAATGGTCCTGGAGGCGAATTCTGGTCACACCTCCAGCCAGGCAAATGAACCTCACTCTGTCCCCTCTTTAATATGGATGTGACACCTGCAGGCTACAGCTTGTCGCACTGTGAGAATTATTTCTCCATTAAAATGCAGGAGTTGGAGCTTTGCCCAGGAAGGGCGGCTAAAAATACTGCTGTCCAGGGCACTTTTCACCGGAGGACTTAGTTGCCACTTTCTTTACCCCTCAGCCTCCAGGCAAGTCCCCCACTTGCTGGGTTGATCCGTGGAGCACCTGATACAGTGTCAGACCCTTTTCCAGCCCTGTCACACACACACACACACACACACACAAAGCACGGGTTCCTGTGCCTGTTTTACAGATGGACAAACTGGGGTTCAGACAGCTTGTTCCAAATCACTGTGTTCAATCTGCAAAATCCCCTAGAGAGCAACAGTGCATGGGCCTGGCTGCAGGGAGGGCAAGAACAACCCCTCGCATGTGCCCAACACCTCATGGTTTGCAGTGTCTTTTTATTTTTATTTATTTATTTTTGAGATGGAGTCTTGCTCTGTCACCCAAGCTGGAGTGCAGTGACACAATCCCAGCTCACTGCAACCACTGCCTCCCTGGCTCAAATGATCCTCCTGTCTCAGCCCCCTGAGTAGCTGGGACTACAGGCGTGTGACACCACACTCAGCTAATTTTTTTACATTCTTAGTAGAGATGGGGTTTCACCATGTTGGCCAGGCTGGTCTCAAACTCCTGACCTCAGGTGATCCACCCACCTCAACCTCCCAAAATGTTGGGATTACAGGCGTGAGCCATGACACCCAGCCTAATTGCAGTGTCTTCTCAATCACTGCTTCGTCCAACCCTCTCAACAATGCTCTGAAACAGGAACTATTACTGTCTCTACATTACAGGTAGGGACTGAAGCCCAGTGTGGTAAAGCCACAGCTCAAGGGCGTACAGTGGGATTGAGGGGCAAACGATGAAGTCTTTCCATCCTAATACCCACCCACAGCGCCAATGACAGGACTTTAAGCAACATGACTGATCTCACCCCTAGGGCCATCAACTTTACAACAAATCCTCTAGTTTGTAAAGAATGCCACATACTTTTTGGACAATGACTTGTTACCCCTATCTAATAGATAAGGAAAGTAAGGCTCAGAGGTATGAAGGACAAGGACACAGATTAGTAGCAAAGCCAGATTGACAGTCAAGGTTGAAAGTCAAGTGTCCTGACCCCCAGCACAGGCTCCTCCTGCTACAGGGTCTGTGAAGCTCCAGGCTGTCCCAGTGCTGAGACTCCTGTCCTCCAGGGTCAGACAAATGCAGTACCCTAGACAGGCTCCCACAGGCTGGAATCTGGCTCTCCGGAAGCCTTGTGCCTCCTCTCAGTCTTTCAAAGTAGAAGGTGGTTAAAACCTCAGCCCTATTTTTCTTTTTTTTTTTTTTCCTTTAGAGACAGAGTCCTGCTTTGTTGCCCAGGCTGGAGTACAGCAGGACAATGAAAGCTCACTGCAACTTCGACCTCCTGGACTGAGGATCAAGTGATCCTCACACTTCAGCCTCCTGAGTAACTAGGACTACAGGTGTGTGCCACCACACCTGACTAATTTTTTTATTTCCTTGCTATTTTTCACTTTTATGCTATGTTGCCTGGGCTAGTCTTGAAATCCTGGCCTTAAGCGATCCTCCCAACTCAGCCTCCCAAAGTGTTGGGATTACAGGCATGAGCCACCGTGCATAGGTGGCTATTTTTTGTACAAGAAAGCCAAGGGCCACAGGAGGTAAATGTCCTGCTCAGGGTCACAGGCCAGAACTATGGCCTGGGAATGGCCCTCTGATCCCTGTCCTGGTGCCCATCCAATGCAGTCAGCCAGAAACAGCATTCAGAACTCTTGTCCTGGTGCCAGCTTCTTACTGGGTCTCTTCCCTATCTCTAAAGTGGAGACACTAGCAGAGCACTAACAAGCCTAGGCTTGAGTTTTCTGAGGCAAAGAAATTGGGTGATGCTTCCAGTGAGAGAAGCCCCATACAGTGACCAAAGGGCCTGGCTTTCTGGAGAACCTACTTCACTTTACCCAGAGGGAAGCTGAGGCCAGAGAGGGAGCCAAATGGTCCTGGAGATCCAGTGATTTAAGGACAATGAGATAAGGAGGACCAAGCTTCCCTATCCCAGCCTGCAACATCCTGGAGGGAATCCTCTGGCTGAGTCCTGGGGCCCACCCTGCTTCCAAACACTTCACAGAGAAAAAGCTTTTTACAAAGACATTTATTTTCCCCAAAATATACCCCCGGTTTACAAAACCCCTCTGAGTCCCACATTTAAATTAGAAGTCCTCACATCTTCTATTCCTGGGGCAGGGAGAGATGACATCCGGAAGGCATCAGAACGTCTGAAGTCTCACTCCACCAGAGGCCTGGAGCTGGCCAGAGTTAAGCCAGGAAGAGCCTGCCTGGCCCCAGAATAGCACCATGGTGGGGGTGGGTGGCAGTCCCCTCTGTGTCCCCAAAGCACTCCTGGCTTTACTCTGCCCCAGGCTCTGCCCCTGCCGCTGCTATGCGAGGTCTGGGGACCTTGGTGTCTGCCCACTTGCCCATGCCTAGGCAGACACTTTGGACACCCACCAGATTCTCTGGCCGTGCAAGGGGCTATGTCCCTTCTCCAGGTTTCTGCCCCCACCCCATGCTCTGGGTAAGAATTAGGGATGGGATGGGGGTGAAGTATCCAGAAAGCCTTGAGCACAAGGGAGTGGTAGAGCAGGGAGCGAGGCAGGAGCCCCACCGAGAACTGCAAGGGGAGTGTAGTTGGCTCTCTGTCTCCTAGCTGGATGGGGAGTCCTTGAGGGAGGAACTGACCTTCCCACGCAGGACCCCCAGCACCTAACACAGTACTGACATCTGTAGTTGCTCAATAAACATTAACTGAATGGATAAATGAAAGTAAGGGAACCAAGAGGTGGAAAGGCAGAGGGACAGAAGGTGACCGCCAGGGGCCCCGTCACAGATCCCTGGAGAACAGCACGTGCTTCTGCGGGGAGGGTGGGCAGGAGAAGGGGCGCTGCAGAGGAGGCTGGGCCAGGGTCGGGGGGAACCACACGTGTTCCAGCACGTGCACCTGCAGGTCTCTCTGCGTACCTGTGCGTGTGGTGGGCGAAGAGTACCCTGTCTTCACTTGGGGCAGGGAGGTAAAAGGTCGATACTGGGGCCAGAGCAAGAGGAGGAAGGAGGAGAGAGGAAACAGCTTCTAGACTCCAGGAGATGCGGAGGCTGCACTGTCCCCATCTGAGAAGACAAGATTCTATGCAGGTGGAAGCCGGTCTGAACGTGGTAACTAGCGTATCAGTCTCATTGGGGGAACAAGGCCGGGGTGACTATGTGTCGCGTCTTTGGTGAAATAAGGCAGGGGGTCAGTCAGTCTGAATATTGCATCTTTTGGAGAAAAAAGGCAGCCAGATGGTCCACGCAGCACTGGAAGAAGTGGGTGGTGATGTGGTCAGGGTACTGTGTCCCTAGGAAATGCATGTGCTGTGAAATAAGGCAGCAGGCAGGATGACAGAGAAATAACGTTGTGGGGTGGTCTGTGTATTGTGTCTATTAAGAAATAAGGCAGCAGGATTACTTGGGAATCATGTCCATTGGAGAAATAGGCTGCACGGTGGTCTGCGTATCGCATCCTTTGGAGAAGGAGCCCACCTGTCAGAGCGGGACACATCTGTTGGGGGCGGGGCTCATAGTGCAGCTCCATTGCAGCCAGAGGGTAGGAGCCACAGGGAGGGGCAGCAGCTCCCTGGTCCTCATGGTCAGGCTATTTCTTGTCCATCATCTTCATTTCATGATGGGAAGAAAAAGAGTGGGGGAAAAGCATTAGATGCCAGAAGTTCTATTTTGGGGATGTCAGAAACCCGGGTACCTGGTCACACTTCAAGTGGGAAGTGTGTGTGAGACAGCAGCCCAGCGAACACCCCTCATGCTGACCACTGGCCTCAAGGCCCAGACACAGATGCAGGTGCCAGGCCTGCCGGGGCACCTGAGGGAGACCACCTCATGCAGCCCCCACTCAGTCCCCACAGGCCCATCGCCCTCCACACTTCCCTCCACTTTCCCTCACTTTTCCCTTCTCATCTCCTGTCTGTCCCACCCTACAAGGCCGGGCCCAATTGCCTCCTCCAGCAGGCAGCCTTCCCAGTGTCCCCTCCACACTAATTCCCCTGAGAGTGATGCCACAGGGGCCTTCCTCCTTCCCTCGGGCTTCCTGTCTCCATGTAGAGAGGCACCCCAAAGACTCACATTCCAGACCCCACTCTGCATCCGGAGCTGAATAGAGAAGGCCCTGCCCCTGCCCTTGCCCTTGTCCATTCTTAGGACTCTGTCCCTGGGAAGAGGAGCTCCCCCATCTGGGTGCTGCTTCTGTTGGTTGTCCAGCGTGGCCAGAGACTGGGGGTGGGGTAGGCTACCTCAGTGAGGAGGAGGAGCAGGATTAGGAAGCTGACTGCTTTGCCCATCCAGGCCACATTCTCCAGCAACGCTTCAAACGCCCAAGCTGAAATTTTTTTTTTTTTTGAGATGGAGTCTCGCTCAGTCACCCAGGCTGGAGTGCAGTAGCACAATCTCAGTTCACTGCAACCTCCGCCTCCCAGGTTCAAGCAATACTTCCACCTCAGCCTCCCAAGTAGCTGGGATTACAGGCGCACTCCACCACACCTAGCTAATTTTTTTATTTTTAGTAGGGATGGAGTTTCACGATGTTAGCCAGTCTGGTTTCGAACTCCTGACCTCAAGTGATCCGCTCACCTCGGCCTCCCAAAGTGCTGGGATTACAGGCGTGAGCCACCACACCTGGCCCAAGCTGACATTTTTAATCTCCATCTGCCCAACTCTTCTATGGTCATTTGATTCTGAACAACAGGAAGGAAATGACTGACCTCCTACATTTCCAGGTGTAACCACTGACATTATAACAATAGGACTAATAATGACTATAGACATTTACTAACCACCTACTGTGCACCAGGGACATGGCTGCCCAGCTGAACATTTTTCTAGCCTCCCCTGAGTTATGGCTCATATGCCTGGGTTCTAACAATGGTATGTAAGCAGAAGTGAGGCAGCCTACTTCCAGCCTTGCTCTAGAAGGAAAGGTACCCTCCCCTTCTCTCTCCCTTGGCTCTGGAGGGGGCGTTGGGGCTGCAGCAGCCTCTTAGAGCTAGGAGCGAAAGCTTGAAGTTGAAGAGGGCAGATTCCAGGTAAGTGGAACCTGGCTCCAGCTCATCAGTGGTTCTAAGGTTACCGCCGCTCACACTATCACGGGAAGGAGAAATAAACTCCTGTCCTGGTTAAGCCTCTGTCATATTTGGGTCCCATTAGAGCAGCTGGGACCTTGGTCACTCAGCCCTCTGCCATCTCACTAGGGGGAAGTCAAGGCTGCTCTTCTGCAGAGGGGGCCTCAAGTCACCAGTGAAAGGATGACACCTACCCCGACCCACCCTCCCAGCCTCTCACACACAGATGCATGCACACACAATCTCAAGCCCAGGTGTCTTTACCTTCTTTGCTTTCAGAGTGTTTCAGAGACTGCAGGGCTGTAAAAAAAGGAAGGAGCACACAGTGAGGGAGGAACCGTGGGAAGTGGTGGGACAGGGAGTCAGGCAGAGGGAGGAGTGAGGGCTGGAAAGGGTGTGAGAAGTTGGCAGAGTGGGACCACATCACAGCACAAGGCAAAGGGCCCCAGGCTGCTATTCCAAGCCACAGTCCCAGGTCCCAGCTCCACTCTGTGGCTTGTCACTCTCCTCTCTGGGCCTTAGTTTTCTGCATCTATAGAACAGGATAACCCTCCAGCCCTCGCTCTCCAGCTGGAGATGCAGAAGTGCCCTGTGCCCACTCTACACACAGGGTGAAGTGAGAAACTAAAGGAGGCTGGCAGATTCACAGGTGGGCCTGGGACCAGGTGGAATGAGACTAGCCAGCTCCCTAACCCACACTCTTCTCCCCACTCCCTCCTTTCTGCCAACTACATCTGCCTCTGAGCATGAAAAATAAGGTCTGATCCCAGAGCTGTCTCTATGCCTGCCACACTGGGCACCAACAGGCAAAGAATTAATTGGCATCATTTATAGCAGTCCCCAAGTGTCAATCTCCTGCCCTTCCTTCTGCGGGGGAGGGGAGGGAATTGGCATTAACTGGAACCATCCCAAATGGCTCAGCAGGAACCTGCCTCTCCCAGCCCAGGATCCCCTGGAAGTCAGCCTCCAGTGGCCATGGGCACCAGTGCGTTGGCATCCACCCAAGCTGGGCCCTGGCTTACTGTGCCATGCCCCCATGCCCTTTGCAAGTACCTCCCTCCCCAGTCACCTGAGAGAGCTTCAAAACAGCCCTCTGCTGCCATCAGGGCAGGGTCAGGATGACATTTTACAGATGGGAAACTGACGCCCAGAGAAGCAAGGCACCTTACCCAAAGCCACACAGCCTGTAACTAGAACAGGATGGTCTTAAGCTGTTTGCCTAAGAGTAATAGGTCTCTAGCATATTAAGCACTTGGCACTAGGTATAGTACTAGGTCCTTTATATACATTATCTCAGTTAATTAAATTAATTGATAATTCAAACAACCTATGAACCTGTGATGATGACCATTTTACGTGTGAGGAAGCTGAAGCCAGAGAGGGAAAGCATCTTGCTCAAGGCCACTCTGTTTAACGAGATGGAGCTGGAATTTAAACCCAGACTGCCTTATCTCCCGAGCCCCTGCTCCCACCCTAGGAAGCCACCAGACTCTTCAGTGTGGGGCCTGCAAGGTGTCATAGGCCCTGGCAGATGGATAAAGGCTGGCAGGAGAAATGAAGCAACACTTGGTCGGGGGGAGCTGGGCGATCCACCTCCTGCCCAACTCTGGGCAAAGAGCAGACGCACCAGGGCAGGGACGCCTCAGTCCAGAGGACACACTTCATTCAAACCTTATAGGAAATCTGGCCCCTCCAGCTCCTAGAGTCCTCTCTCCTGTCCCATATGTCCCTCCTCCAGCTCCAAGTTCAGACTCACCCGTCTTGGCTCCTTCTCCCTCCCCATCCTGGTCCTCAGCTCCTGCAAGGCAAGAACTCAGAATAATCAAATATCTTTTGCAAGCCCATTTTCAGTCCAGCGCTTTCCCACCTGAGAGTGCAGGAAGCTATGAACAGGGCCTGAGTGGGCCTGACCTGTGGTTCAAATGCTAGACACGGGGTTAGAGTCCAAGAGCACAGCAGAGCTGAGCCTATGGCAACATGAAGGGGCTCCCAGTTTAGAATCCAAACCTTAGCAGCCAAAGACCATCCACCCAGCCTGAAGCCCACCACTCACCCAGCCAGAGACCATCCACCCAGCCTGGAGCCCACCACTCCCCCATCCAGAGACCACCCACCCAGCCTGGAGCCCCCACCACTCACCCAGCCAGAGACTACCCACCCAGCCTGGAGCCCCCACAACTCCCCCATCCAGAGACCACTCACCCAGGCTGGAGTCCCCACCACTCCCGCATCCAGAGACCATCCACCCAGCCTGGAGCCCACCACTCCTGCATCCAGA